TCTTTATGAGATCTTTTACAACTTAGATCAGGTCTTTTGGACAAATTGCTGCAGATAATGGCGGAAACAAAGTACACCTTTGCTGCCTTTACCATAGCATAGGCCTTAATATGGATTGCTTCTTATTCGTGGTCAGCTTTACCCGATCTTCCTCTACCCATCAGACCTACTGTCAGATGATCCAAAATTCTTTGGAATCCGAAAGTCTGATTGGCTTCATCAGATAGGAGAAAGCATACTTTGAGGCTTCTTTTAATAGCAGGAATAATTATATCAAGGACCTAAATTATATACTTACGCCAGATATGGATAATATAAACAGAAATAGGAATGGCTATTTAACAAAATCTGTATGTAAATTTATCTTTCAAAATAAATTTGTCATGCCAGGGTATTTGAGAGACCACTTCTTCCCAATTACATCAGGTCAGGCAGGAAGAGTGTGTTACGAATCTGCTATCATGCAGGGGTCTCCAACCTTGGCAACTTTAAGACTTGTGGACTTCAACTCCCAGAATTTGAGGAGTTGAAGTCCACATGTCTTAAAGTTGCCAAGGTTGGAGACCCCCTATGCTACCGAGTTCCATTTGACAAGACCCAGGGAAGAGTTTTCTGCCATAGGACCCACTCTTTGGAATATCAATCCATACCCACAAGGTGAGCCTAGCCTTAATCCTCTTGACCTTCTGGAAATCTCTCAGGACTGTAGTTTTGCACCAGTCCAGGGGTTTCTTTGGAAGCAGCCCAAAGGCATTGTTGTATTTAAGTTTTTAAATATTCCCCTCTGGCTTTATTAAATTTTGATTTATTTATTTTTCACATTTCTGAACTGCCCACCTTTCCTCAAAGTGGGAGATAAATGCATGTTTACCTGACTGTAGTGATTGTTTAAGATGTGTTTTTATTGTTTTGTTTCTATTGTACATCAACTAGGGTCGCATGCATGAAATAGCTATGTAAATTTGATAGATTGACAAAACGCTTGAAACCATTGGTGAGAGCATTGTACTTAAGGATACAGGTAGTCCTTGATTTACAACCGTAAGAGCTTGTCCATCAGTTGTAAGTCACGACGGTTGTAACTCATGTCAGCCACGTGACTGTCCTAATACTATGACCTTATTTGTGGTGGTCATTAAGCAAACACAGCTGTTGTTAAGCAAACCAATGTTTTCCTGTGGGCCGTTTTTCTCGAAAATTGGAAGCAAATTTCAGAAAAAGTGATTTCACAAAATGAAATCATGTTGCCCTGGGAAGCTGTAAAAAGGCATAAATGAGGGTGTGTTATTGAGCATCTGACAGGCAGTCATGTGACTGTGGGCGGGGGATAGTTGTTGCAACTTTGGAACTGGGTTGTGAGTACCCCCAGAGCAGTGGTGGGATTCAAATAATTTAACAACCGGTTCTCTGCCCCAATGACCAGCTGGGTAGGCATGGCCTGGTGGTCATGTGACCATGTGGGCGTAGCCAACTCAAAGTCACTCACATCGATGGATGCTTTGCTTTAGCTGTTCTAATGTAATAAGGGTTAACCAGAGAGGCAGTTTCTGTGAGCAGGGCAA